ATCACCAAGACAAAAATTAAACACTAAAAATATATTTGTAAGTTTCTTTACGCTGTCTGCCGGCGCGATGTTTATCAAAACAAAGACATTGGTAACGAGACTAGCTACCCAATACGCATAGGCTTACAAATATATTCTAACCTAATATACCTAATTTTTGAATAATATTTACTTGCAACCTTTACTCTGTCTGCCGGCGCGATGTTTGTTAAAACAAAGACATTAGTAACAAGACTAGCTACCCAATAAGAAAAGCTCACAATAAATTTTTATAATTAAATGAATATCTAAATTTAGGTTGGATTTATTGTTAAAATAAAATAATTTAAAAAAAGATATAATGTTTAAAATATTATTTGATATTTATTTCCACAAGAAAAATAAAATATTATTAATGATTGAACAAATTAAATTAAATTAAAAGATTCACCAAAACAAAATTCACTTTAAAATTTCTAAGTGTCATTTAGTTTTAAAGAAAAATATTCTAAGTCCAAATTAATTAAAAATCGACTAAGTGTTTTTAAATTGAAAAATATTCTAAGTTCAAATTAATTAAAAAATCAACTAAGTCCCGGAGAGTGAAATCTTGAGTAGAGTGTCGTAGATTTTGTGTATTTTAAAATCGTCAAAAGAACTGGTTTAGATGGGGAAAAATGGCTTTTTATAGTGTGAAGGGGGTAGCCCAGCGATCTCTACCGTGATCCTAGAAGCTGAGGCGTTGTATTCTAATTGGTTAATTAAAATGGGGTCCTAGCGTGTAGGCGTTACTTAATAAGTTCTACAAGAGGGAGATTTTATCGTATAGTTAAAGGGTTATTTTGTATTTTAAATAAGAGAACCTTGTTTTGGTGATCTTGTATAATCATAATATGTGACATACATGAATAAATAATAACATCATATTATATATTAATATTATATGTAATAATATAATATTACATATTTAAATTATTTTTAGAATGGAGAATGATGAATTTAGCCCTTTTAAAATGTTCTTTATAGTAACATCTATGAATTAAATCTTGAAACTTTTATTAGACTTTAAACAAAAAACATAAATAAATAGATCTTGGTAAAATTAATACCTTTCAGCTTCTCATCGAAGCTAAAATATAACTTAATGAAATATTAAAAATAATCTTTAGTCTGCACAGGTTAAAAACTTAAGGTTAGTTTTGGCATGAGTATAAAAGTCAAAATCGAAAAATGATGCGTCAAAGAAACTATTATATAGTTTTTAATTTATCTCAAACTATCCCTTAACTGTCGATAGATCAACTTTAATATTAGAAAATATATGGACAAGTTACTTTAACCTAAGTTAAAAATAATTATTAGTTGGTAGCTGATAAGTACACTACGACTCCTATAGGAAAAAGTGCGGAAACATTATGATATGCATTGATCGATAATGCTATATTCTACAAATACCCCAATAAAAGATCGCGAATAAAAGAGCGATTTTTAAAATGTCCATTTAAGTTCTTTTTACATGCTAAAATAAAAAAATATTTTTTTCTTAATAAATTTGCAAATAATTTGCAATTGATATCATCTTTATAAAATTAAATTCATAAAAATGACCATAGCAAAATCTGCCTTTAAATAGGACACTTTTCTACCCTTAAAACAACTATTATTTAAAAATGGTTTAACATAATAAGTTATTTTCACCATAATTCTTTTTAAAATTGAATTATCTATTGAAGTAAGTAAGAAAAATTAGGGGTGCAATTTAAATTTCTTAAGTTAGGGTAGATTTTTACCCGTTTAGATTAGGGTTGAACTTATATTTAATCGTAAAATTTACATTTAATTAATCAATTAACCTCTAAAAAAAAATTATTAAAAAAATCAATAGCGGCTCTAAAAAATCGGTGTTTCCGAACTTATTGAACATACTGTATATTTTTTTTGTTATTTATTAAATTATCATCTACACATCAATTATTGGACTTGCAGCTATTGCATGAGCAAGTAACACCTCTCACCTACTCCTCTAATGAGTGAAAGCAAGCTTTTGGCAAGATGAAAAACGAGTGCGATGCACAACTAGTCGTCCTTAGTATAACTATTTTTTCAATTTATAATTATAAGGTTTCAATAAATAAATAGTTTTAAGTATTGACAAAAAATAATTTAACATTGCAATATTTTGTAATATAATTATGGATTCAGTTTATTTATTTATTGAATATTGCAAATAAAATATTCTTTTTATTCGAGTTCCACATCCCAATTACGTTTTATTAAAGTGTTATGTTTTAATCCTACGATTTTTTCATCTGAAGTATTGTAAATTTCTTTCATCAATGTATACCGCTTTTGATATTCTTTGGACAGAGTTGTTTTTGAACCTATACATAATTAAAGTTTTTGTAATCTTTAATATAATGTTAATTAAGTTATTAATATGTATAAATAATGAATACAGTAGTTCTTCTAGTCATTCCTTAGATAAATTACGTTTTATAATTTGCCCATTTTTGACCACTTAATGGGAAAAAAAAAAATTTTGACCTCTGGACTTGTTTCGTGGTGAAAATGGACATCAAAGTTAAAGAAAAACGTACGATTTTCGTGAACAAATTTTCGATTTTATATAATTAAATTTATATTGCTATAACTTTTTAAATATTATTATTTTTTTGTAATAAATTTTTTTTACCCCTTGCATCTGACACGCTCTTTTTGTAAATCGGATTATACCCCTTTATACAAGGGGGGTCAAAACTTTAAACGTGCGTATTGAAACTAGGACATTTTCAATTAAATTTTTGAAAGGATTCCGGAAATACTGACACTTTTATATATATCTTAAATTAAAGCTTATATAATATACTTGAATTTGAAAAAAAAAATTTGACTTCTGGATTTGTCTTCATGGTAAAAATGACTACCGTATTCAAAAATATGCTATTTTTGTGTTAAAATACTGGGTTTTGTATTTTATTTTATTTTAAAATACCTGACAAGGAGAGTACAGATTTTCATAAATATTAAATAAATAAAAAATTAATATAGCATAGAAAGATAAACTTATTTAAATTTGTTTGCTTCTTTTAAGGCGAGTAAAATAACTTTGAAATTTGAACTAGCTTAAATAGCAAATTTTTCAAGTGACGGTAGCGACGTACGGTTGCCGAGTTGGTAAAACTTATGTTTTACACGCTTGGGGTACAAGGTTTCAACCCGCTTATAGCAATGTACTTTTTGCATTTTTAAGTTAGTATAAATGTTTAACTCGTTTGATTTTTATCTCATTTATNGGGTACAAGGTTTCAACCCGCTTATAGCAATGTACTTTTTGCATTTTTAAGTTAGTATAAATGTTTAACTCGTTTGATTTTTAACTCATTTAGATTCAATAACTTCAATAAAGATCAAGGATCCCATCACTTTAGTCACCCCTTGCAAGAAGAAATTTCTTATTCGTATTAAAATTATTTTATTATATTTTAAGTTTTAGCTTCGATGTAAAGCTGAGAAGATATTTTTTTGTGACTATCATTTGTTTTCTCTGCACTAACTTGACCTACTTTTTTCAGCGATACGTCAAATGACTACAATTCGTATCTAGTTAAAGATATTACCCTCAAACATTGAAAAAAAAATTCTATTTTATCAATTAATAAGTTACTTAGCCCACATTCTCCATATAGTCAATTAAAATCATTAATTTCTAATGTTTTCAAAATATGTATTAACGAATGAAAGATTGATATGATAGGTTTCAACTACAAAATTAAATCTTTTTACTTTGTAATTTAATAAATTTNTCGCACAACCTGGCTAATTGCACGCTATTTTCCACAATCGATCTGGTAAAGGCTTACCATCAAATACCTGTTAATCCGGACGATATATGCAAAACAGCCATTACCACTCCATTCGGACTTTACGAATTTCCTTTTATGACATTCGGATTGCGAAATGCTGGACAAACTTTTCAACGCTTCATAGACGAAGTTACCAATGGGTTGGACTTCTGTTATGCATATATTGATGACATTTTGGTATTCTCTAAATCGGAAGAGGACCACAAACAGCATTTACGCACTCTTTTCGGGAGACTTTCTGACTACGGTGTTGTCGTTAACCCGCAAAAATGTGTATTAGGTTCGGCTGAGGTGAAATTTCTAGGTTACCTAGTATCTTCTGAAGGCACCCGCCCGCCACCGGAACGCGTCGACGCCCTACGACAGTATCCATTGCCAAAATCTATGCAAGGATTACGCCGGTTTTTGGGAATGGTAAATTTTTATCGCCGGTGTATTCCCAAAGCTGCCGACCTGCAAGCACCACTTCACGGTATTCTCAAAGGCCCGAAGACAAAAGGTTCCCAACCGATAGAATGGACTCCCGAGTTAGAAAAAGCGTTCACCACATGCAAAGAAAGTCTTGCGACCGCTACTCTTTTAGCACATCCTCATCCAGCCGCACGACTTGGACTATTCACAGACGCATCTAGCCAATCTATCGGCGCATGTCTGCAGCAGCGAGTCAATAACATCTGGCAACCCATAGCATTTTTTTCAAAGAAAATGTCGGTGAAACAAAGTGCGTGGCCTGCGTATTATCGTGAGTTGCTTGCCATCTATGAATCGGTGAAGTATTTCAGGCACATTGTCGAAGCACAACCATGTACCATTTTCACCGATCATAAGCCACTCGTATATGCTTTCACCCAACGGAGAGAAAAGATACCTCCTACGCAACTCAACCAGTTGACATTCATATCCGAATTCACCACCGACATTCAACACATTAAAGGTGATGAAAATATCGTCGCGGATACAATGTCACGCATTGAAGTTGTGTCTCTCCCGCTGGACTACCGAGCTCTTGCTGCATCTCAAGACACGGATGAAGAACTCAAACATTTTTCTGACAACAATTCATCTCTTCATTTGGAGAAGGTACTAGTGCCAGGATCTTCAATCTATATTTATTGCGACACGTCAACAGGACGCCCACGACCATTTTTGCCACAACGATTCCGGCGTCACGCATTTGATCAGTTACACAACCTTAGTCACCCCGGTGCACGCGCAACAGCTCACTTAGTTTCAGAACGATTTGTGTGGCCAGCAATGAAAAAGGATTGCCGTTCCTGGGCACGTGCCTGCGTCCACTGTCAGCGATCGAAAATAAGCCGACACGTCTCAGCCCCACTGGGAAACTTTGAAACACCTTCACGCCGATTCAAACATGCTCATGTCGATATCATCGGTCCATTGCCGCCATCACAGTCCTTTAGGTACTGTCTGACGGTAATCGACCGTTTCACCCGTTGGCCGGAGGTGTATCCACTCGAACGTATAACAGCAGATGATGTCACTAAGGGTTTCCTCAATTGCTGGATTTCACGCTTCGGAGTACCTCAATACGTTACGACTGACCGTGGTACTCAGTTTGTTTCAGCTACTTTAAAAACTTTAGCAAAACGTTTTGGTTTTACGCTTCGCCCCACTACCAGTTGGCATCCTGCTGCAATTTTTGACCCTAGCTAACTCCACTCCGTAGGGGGGTGGTGTGGCGGTCGAATGTTCTAGAATATTCGGCCGCCGCCGCCTCTAGAAGATTCCTCTGACTATTTAAGGGCAAGATCGTCGCTCCAGTCAATCAATCGATCAGTCAATCACTTACGCACTCTGTCTTAAACGCACTTCGTCTCTCGCTGTTATTTGTTAGTTCGTTGTAATATAATATAGTTGTTATTAAATCGTAAAAGTGTTTATTACTTCTATATATTACACCTCGCTACAGGTTCATTTAGTTAAAGTAATCATTAAAATTAATTCAGTTCTGGATATTTCAATTGTAGAAACTTTTCAAACAACAAAAGTTACTAGGAAATTATTACTATTACTTCTATTTAAGTTATCTATAATAAGTATATTGTTATTAAAAAAAAATTAAGTTAATAAATTATAAGGGACGAGGCTTTTGGCAAGATGAAAACTTGTGTGGTGCATAATTAGTCGTCCTTAGTATAACTATTTTTTCAATTTATAATTATAAGGTTTCAATAAATAAATAGTTTTAAGTATTGACAAAAAATAATTTAACATGCAATATTTTGTAATATAATTATGGATTCAGTTTATTTATTTATTGAACATTGCAAATAAAATATTCTTTTTATTCGAGTTCCACATCCCAATTACGTTTTATTAAAGTGTTATGTTTTAATCCTTCGATTTCTTTATCTGAAATATTGTAAATTTCTTTCATCAATGTATACCGCTTTTGATATTCTTTGAGCAAAGTTGTTTTTGAACCTATACATAATTAGGTAAAATAAAGTTTTTTAATCTTTAATACAATGTTAATTAATTTATTAAAATGTATGAATAATGAATACAGTAGTTTTTTTAGTCTTTCCTTAGATAAATTATATTTTTTATATTTTTGGTAAACAGTGGTTTATTTGATGGTACACAACGTATAACTCGATAAATAAATACTTTGAATATACCTATATGTTTATAACTATGACAGGAAAATATTAACTTAAGTAAACGTTTTCATTATTACATAGAGGATTTTGATAAATGAAATGTTATTAATAAATCATTAAATACTATCTATATGTAGTATACATAGAAAGTGTTTAATAATTTATTAGTGTATGTCTAGTACGAAAAGACTAAATTTTGTTATAGTAGGACGTTTAAATGATGTAATAAATAATTAAAAAGAATGACACTCTTTTTAATAGCTTTTCATTTTCTTTATTTAATAATTTTTTTAAATGGAAATTAATGCATAATAATTAATTATTCTTAATAGTATACTTTAGTATGTATAGAATATATCCCCATTACAAAAATATTAATTTTCTAAAATTCCAAAGTATTACTTTAGAAGTATGATTTTGAGACTACTGTGCATCTTCTTAAAACAAAACATTGTCAATAAAACTCGTATATATTAGCTTTGATGCGAAGGAGGTATTGGTTTTTTTTTTGTGTCTGTTACAACTTTTTCTGAGCTCTCACTGAACCAATTTCTTTCAACGTTACGTCAAAAGATCAAAAATCGTATTTAGTCGAAGACATTACCCTCAAAAATTGGAAAAATTTCCCTCGTTCCCCGCTAATGGGAGAAAACTCCAAAAAAATTACAAATTTAAAAATCGCTAATTTTCGAAATTTTTTCAATTTTTTTTACTTAAAATTGCCATAACTTTTTCAAAAAAGAACATATAATATACTTTTTTTTTTTATAGATGCATGATATCATCATCTTTCATTTGGTATATTTTTTTATAAATTTGACTCTTTACCTGCCTAAAGTGAGTGATTCAAAATGACAAGTTTTTCAACTTAACTTTTGAAAGTGTTCCGGAAAGTCTGATACTTTTATATATATCTTATATTAAAGCTAATGTAATATAATTTATTATGAAAAAAAAAAATTTCTGATTTTATTTTGTCTTCACGGTGAAAATGGCTACCAAATGCTGTTATTGTGTGAAAATTCTCGATTTTATTTTTTACATTTTTAACTTTATAATGCTATAACTTTTTGAAAAGTGTGTGGATCAACATAATTTTTTTATGAGAAATAATATTTTTTAATAATCCCTTTATCATTCGACATACTTTATCTTAATCAGGATATTAATAAGGAACTAGCAGATCATGTAGCTTTTGGAATAATCCACCATTTTTTTTTAATTTAACACTATCTAAAGAATTGCTATGAAGCGTTTTTTTTATATTGATTTTAATCACTGTCAGATATCATTATACTTGATCCAACTATGCTACGTCATCACTGTGCGGCGACTCCTCTGTGCTAGGTTTTTTTTATCGAATTTGAGCATTGTTTATTTTTGTAGAATAATCAATGGAATAAAAAAAATAAATACTTTTATCACAAGGAATCATTTTTGAAATTCAATAAATTAAGCTTACTGTCATAATTAAGCCATTCTTCAGGTTCATCCTTTGGATTTCCTGTACTAACTGAAATCAATTTTATTAGTTAAAAATGACTGACTATTTGGATTTCAAACAATTTAAACGAATTTTAAGATAATAAAAGTAAAATATACTATATATTGTTGATATTTATAAAAAATTTCATAGTAATGTGTGTTAAGTATTTATTATTTATGTTCTAAATCTTTACTGCTACGAAAAAATTTCTATATTCGATTGAAACATGAATTAAACGAGAGTGTAGCATAACAAAAAGGTACCTCTTTATTTTTTTGTATATTTGTATATTTATATGGTAATTATTTTAGTCCACCTGAATGCGTGTTGTGACGGAGTTTATCATATAAATAATCATGATAAGGAGTTGTGATTTGTTTGTGCGAGATAGTCAGCTGTATAGTACTTCGGACCACCGGGTAGAACATCGGTCAAATCTTCTGAAATTAGCCATCGTTGGAACTGGTTATGCGTTAAATTTCGAGCGTAGTGAATTTCTTTAGTTGTGTGAGCTGCAACATCATATCTTTTATTGTATTTTTTTGTAATTTTTTGGCGTCGGCTGAACCTGTCTCCTAATCTTTAGCCCTTCGGGTTGTTATTGTATATTTTTTATTATAATGTTTGACTCTGATTCTTTTTATAGTTTGCCGTGCCATAAGCACGTTAGGCGAATTTTTTTTGTTTTTTGTGAGTGCTCCTATTTTAGTAGGTCTCTCAACATGTCAGGTATGTTTTAATACCTTCTGCCATATTTTATACTTTTTTTGTGATTTTTTCATTGGATTGTTAGTTTTCAACGATGGCGGACGTATTTGATTTATTTTTTTGTAGATATGTTTCGTGGTTTAACTATTATAATATATTGATGATGTATATTCATTATGACAATGTAGTGATGTAGTGCGTTTTATTCCGTAAAGTCCCAACGTCTTGCAAGATAAGTCGAACTGCTTAAAACCAGTGGCTTACTTGGGACGAATATCCGCTGCACTTTAGCAGTAATGCCGTGTTTGATGTCTGATGGTTACCCGAATCGTATTCTCAAATATAAAAGTTGTAGGTGTAATAATTTTATTAGTAATGTCATTTAATTATAGACTAGATATTTTAACCGTTTGGTTATTCGCATTAAATTTATTTAATTTTAATTAATAAAGTCCCCAATTTAATTTAACCGCAGTCTCTTTTCCTAGCATGTTCCATCTTCAATGAACTCGTGTATTTTGTATTTCTTTCCCTTTAAAAATCAACGTTTCCTAGTTTATAAGGTATGTGCAATGACCTTGTCTAAAATCATCCCATTTAATAATTGTAATGTGATAATTTGTAACGAAGTTGNCAATGTTTTGGTCCTTTAGCCAGTCTTTAAGAAAATCAATTGTTATATTTATTGGAATATTCGGAAATAAGGCAACTACGTCAAAAGAAATTAACCTGTCATTATTTTGAATGGTATAACTAGATAATTGTTTAACTAAATCAATATTATTTTTAACTGAAAAACTATCGAATTTTTTGAAAGATGAAAATACCCTTACTAGGTGTTTAGCCAAATTGTAAGTCGGAGCATTAATATTCGACACAATAGGTCTCATAGTACTTCCTGGCTTATGTATTTTTGGCAAAGCATATAGTTTAGGTATTTGAGGGTTTGAAATTTTAATGAAAAACCTGAACTTTTCTTCGATTATTAATTTTGAACTATTTATGACGTTTGTAGCCTCCCTTATCATTTTACTTAATGGATTCTTTTTAATTTCTTTATAAGGACCCTCTTGAATCATTCTTGATACTCTTTCATAATAATCTTCTTTTTTTAGTATTACAACAGAATTCCCCTTATCTGCCTTTAAATAAAAACAGTTTTTATTTTTTAAGTCTTTTATGAGTCGTGAATGTTTTTCATTTTTTCCTAAACCCCCTTTATTTATAACAGAATTTTTTTGTAGAAAATTTAAACACTCCCTTCTTGCTAAGTCTTGATTATTAAAATCAACACTTTTAACCCCCATTTCAATTCCTACTAGTAGATCTTCCATTGGAAATTTTTTTGGTAAAAAACTTGTTTTAAGACCCAACTTAAGTATTTCAGTTTCTTCAACGGAAAAAACAATGTTTGTGTAATTTTTAACTAAATCGTCCCCCCAGTTTTTAGAAAATGAAACTACCGGACTCTTATTAAAATTATCTATTTGACCCTTATTTTTGTATTCTGAAAGTAAATTTTGAAATTTTTTATTTAACTTTTCTTTTTTTGTTTTAAATTTATGTTCAACCACTTGGTACATCTTCAGCTCGAAGATGTCCCACTGTGATTGACTCAAAAAATTAGAAAGTTTTAAATGTAATTGATAAGCCCCCATTTCTAATCTACTTCTATTGCGATAATGATTTATTATTTCTAACTTAAGAAATTTCTCCTGAGCGAAATTTATTGACTTGTAAAAATTAATATTATTATTGTTTGACTTACTTGGTAATCTGGCAAACTTCGGAGTCATATGGAACTTAATACATTTTTTGAGAAAAAATATATCAGCTCCAATCAGGCGTACTTTCGTCTTGATTTGCATCAGTTTGTTTAACTCTTTATTATGATCAAAAGGCCCGAACGCCATAATTATATAATAAAAATTGATCACTTGTGGCTAATTAATTAAGTAAAATTAAAACTATATTAAAAATATTATTAATTTAAAAAACTAAAAAATATTAAAAATATTAAACTCAAAGCCACAAAAATTAATCTTCGAGCTGAAGATGTACCAAGTGGTTGAGCATAAATTTAAAACAAAAAAAGAGAAGTTAAATAAAAAATGTTAAAATTTACTTTTAGAATACAAAAATAAGGGTCAAATAGATAATTTTAATAAAAGTCCGTTAGTTTCATTTTCTAAAAACTGGGGGGACGATTTAGTTAAAAATTACACAAACATTGTTTTTTCCGTTGAAGAAACTGAAATACTTAAGTTGGGTCTTAAAACAAGTTTTTTACCAAAAAAATTTCCAATGGAAGATCTACTAGTAGGCATTGAAATGGGGGTTAAAAGTGTTGATTTTAATAATCAAGACTTAGCAAGAAGGGAGTGTTTAAATTTTCTACAAAAAAATTCTGTTATAAATAAAGGGGGTTTAGGAAAAAATGAAAAACATTCACGACTCATAAAAGACTTAAAAAATAAAAACTGTTTTTATTTAAAGGCAGATAAGGGGAATTCTGTTGTAATATTAAAAAAAGAAGATTATTATGAAAGAGTATCAAGAATGATTCAAGAGGGTCCTTATAAAGAAATTAAAAAGAATCCATTAAGTAAAATGATAAGGGAGGCTAC